GGGCGCCGGGGGGGGGAGCGCGCTGCCAGCGAGCAGCACCTGCAGCCCCCTGTGCCAAAAGGAGGGGGGGTGTGTGTTAGAGTTCCCCCTGCTAAATTCAAGCCAATGCATTTCACTTGTGGGCCTCCAAGAGAAATGTGAACTGTGATGAATTTTAGGTATACCCCATGAAAAGTGAAAAAGCGCAACTTTTCCCAGCTGGGAGCGCTGAGAGCAGCGTAAGCTGGGAACATACAGGAGTAAAAGATGAGAAGGCGTGGGCAGGCAGGACTGAAAACCCACAAGAGGCATTTCCTCTTTTCCTGATGGAAGGGATGCTCGAACAAGGTGGGAGGAAGCCCTGTCTCTAGCTACCTCTAAGCATAAGCCACTGAAGCAATATATACACCTATATGTACATATATAGAGTCATAGAATCACTTTGGTTGGAAAAGATCTTTAAGATCATCAAGTCCAACCTTTAACATAACCCTGCCATCCCAAGCAACATATATATATACAGCAACATAGCCACAGAAGGCTGTAATTAACAACAGCATAACAATTTGGACAGGCTGGATCAATGGGCTCCAGCCAACTGTATGAGGTTCAACAAGGCCAAGTGCCAGGTCCTGCACTTGGGTCCCAACAACCCCACGCAACACTACAGGCTTGGGGATGAATGGCTGGGAAGCTGCTTGGCAGAGAGGGATCTGGGGGTGTTGGTCAACAGCTGGCTGAACATGAGCCAGCAGTGTGCCCAGGTGGCCAAGACGGCCAATGGCATCTGAAGCTGGTGAGGGGTCTGGAGCACAAATCTGATCTGAGGAGCGGCTGAGGGAACTGGGGTTGTTCAGCCTGGAGAAGAGGAGGCTGAGGGGAGACCTTATCAGCCTCTACAACTGCCTGACAGGAGGTTGTAGCCAGGTGGGTGTTGGTCTCTTTTCCCAAGCAACAAGTGATAGGATGAGAGGAAGTGGCCTCAAGTTGCGCCAGGGGAGGTTTAGATTGGATATTAAGAAAAATTTCTTACTGAAAGGTTTATCAGGCACTGGCTGCCCAGGGAAGTGGTCGAGTCCCCATCCCTGGAGGTATTTAAAAGACAGGTAGATGTGGTGCTTAGGGACATGGCTTAGTAGTGGACAGGTACGGTTGGACTCTATGGTCTTAAAGGTCTTTTCCAACCAAATGATTCTATGATTCTAATTAATGGTGAGGCACCACTCATTAATGCTGTTGTAGTAGTCCTCAGCCCATGTTGGCCTCCTGAGCGGGGGCGGCTTATGCAGGATTCGGTGTGGGACCCCTGGCAGCACAACACCCGGTCTCTGGGCACGTCCTCGCCTGCGCAATAGGGAGGGGAAAGCAGCCAGCGGGAGAGCTGAAGCAGCTCCTTCCTTTAATGACATGTGCAGCACTCCATTTGAATCTCTGCTTTAGTTTTCCCAACACACGTGTGGGCAAACTCAGATTTCATCATAAAACGCACAAAGTGATAAATGTGGTTCTGGTCCTTCACAACTAGCAGTTTTCTACTTTGTAGATGTTTGAGGTTTTTTTCTTACGTAGGAATAAATATTTTAGGGTGACAGGGAACCATTGGGTTCACTTGTTACACAGGTCATAGGATTATACAGCAAGACTTCCTCAATCTTAGGACAGCAAGTAGCTGAAGGTATCTTTTGGAAATTTGCTTCTGTTATATGCTATTAGTCCCCTTTCCCTAAGGCAATGCGAACTTGGCGAGGAGAAGTTTCTCTCTCTTCTTTTTCAGCAGCCCCTGGCCCATTGGCTAATTTCAACCAGAGATGACAGAAAGTGAGAGCTTTCAGAGATAACGAAGTTTCTGCCACTTTCAAGAAAACGGGCAGAGACGGCTATGAGACAGTGGGGATCCCATGAGAGAGGCTTCCGGAGGGCCCCTGGCTTTTGACTAAAGCTCACAGCTTTGTGTACCCCGAAATCAGCCAGCCCCAGGGACCAAGCCTGCCGGAGGGCAGGTTTTCCAGGCATTGGTGCGTGCTCAGCTGCCCATCTGGGTTTGCTGTGAGCTGTCCCTGCCGAGCCGAGCTTGGCATTTCTTTCTAAACAGAAGAAGTCTTGTGTAGCCTGTAGCAACTGTTCCTTTTTAATCTCAAAACGACCTTCTTCTGAAAACTATCCCCAGCCAGCCTGTTGTAACACTTTTCATATTATTGAATCTTTGGACGTTCTGCACAAAAAATGCCATTCTTTCTCAACACTCAAGAGTTTCAACAACAATTCTGATGACTTTTCATTCAGAAAGCATGTATATTTTGAACAAGGGAAAACTCTTAAACTTGTGCCCTTTTTCATGCTATTCAAATCCAGACTAAAATGTTACAAAGTCGGATGACTGACAAATGAGGAGACCAAGTCCCTCATCTCATAGCTTGGTTTGTGCATGTGAAAGTCTTTGTTAGCAAGATTACAATCAAACTTACGGGACAAGAATGAATTTAAAAGGCTGCCACTTGCAATTCTAAGTATTTAATCACTCAAAAACACATTTTCAAATTAAAATGGCTTGAGATCTCCATTTTTTATAGTCTGTACTGAACACCAAGCCTGTTCTATGACCAAGGAGCAGTAGCCAGTATTTCCAGGAGCGTGGTTTGGTGTGTGTGGTGTAAGTTGGTTTTACCTATTCTAGATACAGCATAATGCTAATTCAGATATTGTTAAAGTAAAACCCAGATTTATGGTGTTTAGATTAATTTTTAATTGAACCGAGTCGATCAATTTGCACTTCTGAAGCCCTCTTCTTCCCCAGCATGGCCCATGGCAATTTAGAAAGAGCACACCGAGCCTCTCAGCTGTCCATGAGGGTGATAGACGTGGGAGTTGGATTGGAAGGGCCAACACTGACGGCGTGGGTCAGTGTCACAGTAAGGTTTGGTTTTAAACTACCTGGAAAATACAAACCTCTACTCCCAACAGCTTTTATTAAGCTCTTCTTTATTAAAGCCTTCATTAAAAATGTAACTGATAGAGCACCCAAATATGCACTGTGTGCTCTGAGCCAGTGGGCAGTGAGGTGGCCAATATCTACTGCAGGACACTGAGCAGCTCATAGAAATGAGGCCTCCTGAGCCTACAGAGAGCACAAAGCATACTTTAAAGAGGGAATGTTAACTCTGAAACCTACTGCCACAAAAAAATAGGTTTTCATTGCTAAACCAAAGACGCAAAGGCCAGCATTCATGCCCATTAAGAGTCAGCCTCCGAATTGTCTGTAGCTTCTCA